CAGATCCAATTCCCTAGATCAAGAGCTCCTCACCAGCATCAAGGAACCTCCCTTGAGGGGTCCATGCATTACAAAAAAAGCTGAGCTTTTAACCCTTTGAGGGTTTTGGTCGTACTAGTACGTCTTATGCGTAGGGGTTTTTGACGTACTAGTACGCATAAATTCTAGCGGCCTCAAATCTACTGGGAGAAAGCTGGTAGGCCTTCATATGAAAGAATGGGTCTATGTGGTCAGTGTGCACAGTCTAAAAAAAATCCTGCAGCACACAGTGCATAATGAGAAAAAAAAACTTTGACCATTTTTTTGGAATAAATCAGCGACTTTGCAGTGTATTTTCATATGGTATTTATTGTTGTATTCTAGTTTTCTTGGTCTCATTTTATAGAATGGAAGACATATTACAGAAATTGAGATGATTTTGACTGGTTTTACAATGAAAGGTGCCTTGAAATTGAGCTCAAAGTAGCAGAAATGTTCGATTTTTACCAAACTTCAAAAGTAAACAAATCGTGCCAAGCGTGCAATACACGTCAACTGGTGAGTCTAATATTCTTTCACAAGTGCACCAATAATATTTATACCATTTTTTACACTAATGCAGTAGTCTGCATAACAGTAAATCTTATATTTTTTGTGAGAATAAAAATTCAAAGTGGAAAGCAAAAGAATATAAGAGGGGCCTTGAGACGTGACTAATGACTAGAGGAAATGTCATTTTAGTTCCAGGAATGTCTTTCTTGTTTATTCTGGACCCTATTCGGAAATTGGCATCTTTTGAAATTTGTGTGAAATTGGCAAAATTGCTAAATTCTGACCACTGTACTGGATAGTTAATTTCATAAATGGGTGGTTTCTTGCACCCATTCGATAGAAAAAATGGAGTTCTAGCGAAATATTCATGTTTTTTGTCGACTAGTACAGTGAAATTGGCCGAAAATGGGGCTCAAAGTGGGCAAAATCACCGATGTGTAAACATCACCGAGACCGCTAACTTTGCGAGAGCATAATTCCGTAAGTTTTCTATCAAATTTTAAACTTTTGGTGTCTTTATGATCGGGAAAAGAGTCTCTATCTTTTCATAAGAGAAAATAATTTTTTTTTTTTTAAATTTGGCCGACCCTGAGAACGAGTTTCGGAGAGGGCCTGTCGACCCTCAAAGGGTTAATTAAAGCTTCAGCTTTACCCAGCAGCTGAAGTATTCGTTGCAAGTCCTTCATCAATCCTGTTGTCTTACTCAAAAAAACTCTAAACCTGTAAGGGGATATAGCCTATTAGAAGTATGAAATTCCATTATTTTAACCAATGAGAGAAAACTTAGATTACAAAGTTTGGTACATTTCAGATGCCTAGGATTTTGTCGTTTCCTAATTTTTTTTTTTTAACATATCGGCCATTTCCCACCAAGGCAGAGTGACCCAAAAAGAAAGAAAAAACTTTCATCATTCAACACTTTCACCATCACTCGTACATAATCACTGTCTTTGCAGAGGTACTCAGATATGACAGTTTACATGCCCCTCCAAACTGCCAATATCTCAAACCCCTTCTTTAAAGTGCAGGCATTGTACTTCCCACTTCCAGGACTCAAGTCCAGCTAACCAGTTTCCCTAAATCCCGTCACAAAATAATATTCTGCTCACACTCCAACAGCTCATCAGGTCCCAAAAACCATTCGCCTCCAGTCACTCCTATCTAACACACTCTTGCATGGTTGTTGGAAGTCCGAGCCCCCTCGTCCACAAGATCTCCTTTACCCCCTCCCTCCAACCTTTTCAAGGACGGCCCTACAGATTTATACACTCTCCAAGTCATTCTACTGTCCCATTCTCTGTAAATGACCAAACCATCTATACAACCCCACTTCAGCCCTCTAACTGATACTTTTAGTAACTTCACACCTCCTCCTAGTTTCCACACTACAAATTCTCTGCATAATATTTACACCACACATTGCTCTTAGACACGACATCTCCACTGCCTCCAGCCTCCTCCTTGCTGCAGCCTTTACAACCCATGCTTCACACCCATATAAAAGTGTTGGTACCACTATACTCTCGTACATTCCCTTCTTTGCCTCCATGGATAACGTTTTTTTGTCTCTACAGATACCTCAACGCACCACTCACCTTTTTTTCTTCATCAGCTCTATGGTTAGCCTCATCTTTCATAAACCCATCTGCTGACAAGTCAACTCCCAAATATATGAATACATTCACTTCTTCCATACTCCCTCCAATGTGATATCCAATTTTTCTTTATCTAAATCATTTGATACCCTCATCGCCTTACTCATATCTATGTTCACTTTCAACTTTCTCCCTTTACACACCCTCTCAAACTTGTCCACTATCCTTTGCAATTTTTCTTTAGAATCTCCCAAAAGCACAGTTTCATCAGCAAAAAGTAACTGTGTCGACTCCCATTTTGTATTTGATTCCCCATGGGTTTATGAAGGATGAGGTTAACCAGAGAAATGAAGGAAAAATGGTGAGTAGTGCTTTGAGGTACATATGGAGACAAAGAACGTTACCCATGGAGGCAAAGAGAGTATAGTGGTACCAACGCTTTTATATGGGTGTGAATCATGGGTTGTAAATGCTGCAGTGAGGAGGCAGTGGAGATGTGTCTAAGGGCAATGTGTGGTGTAAATATTATGCAGAGAATTCATAGTGAGGAGGTGTGGAGTTATTAAAATTATTAGTCAGAGGGCTGAAGAGGGGCTGTTGAGGTGGTTTGGTCATTTAGAGAGAATGGAACGAAGTAGATTGACTTGGAGAACATATAAATCTGTAAAAGGAAGGCGGGGTAGGGGTCATCTCCGAAAAGGTTGGAGGGAGGGGGTAAAGGAGGTTTTGTGGGCAAGGGGCTTGGACTTCCAGCAAGCGATGCGTGAGCATGTTAGATAGGAGTGAATGGAGACGAATGGTTTTTGGGACCTGACGAGCTGTTGGAGTGTGAGCAGGGTAATATTTTGTGAAGGGATTCAGGGAAACCAGTTAGCCGAACATGAGTCCTGGAAATGGGAAGTGTGTACAATGCCTGCACTTTAAAGGAGGGGTTTGGGATATTGGCAGTTTGGAGGGACGTCTAAGCTGTCGTGTCTGAGCGCCTCTTTAAAGACAGTGATTATGTATGAGTGATGGTGAAAGTGTTAAATGACGAGTTTTTTTTCTATCTTTCTTTCATTTTGGGTTACCTTGCCTTGGTGGGAAACGGCCGATGTGTTAAAAAAAAAAATTCAAATTATCAAATTAAGAGCTAAACCTGCAGGGGTCACAATGCAGCAAAAACTTGAAGCTCGTTTTATTATAGTTACATTCATGGGGAGCACTAAACCTATGGGGGTCATACAGCACCTGTGTGGAATGGGAGACATTCAGGTTTGATCCATGGAAGGAGAATGCATGTTCAATTCCTTGGATCAAAAGCCCTTCACTGGCTTCATGGAGGCTCCCTTAAGGGGCAATATCAGTAAAGTATGAAGTTCAAAAATTAATGAACTATGCCATTTTTACCAGCAATACTGATTACAACTATTATTACAATTATAATGAAGCACTCAACCCAATACTGAAAAAATATAGGAAAATGTATCATTTGTTTTATTAACGACTCGTTGTCCTGCATACACAATGACTCAGGGATTATGGATAATTTTAAACCCCAGTTCTGTAGATAGTAATGAGCCAGCTCTTTTACACTATTTTTTATCACACTGGCAGTCTCCCAATGAGGCAGGGTGACCTGAAAAAGAAATACTTCAACCATCATTTACTTAATCACTATCTTGCTAGAGGCACATAGATACTACAGTTCAGATGCCCTTCCAAACTGCAAATATCCCCATCCTTCCTTTAGAGTGCAGGCACTGTACTTCCCACCTCCAGGACTCAAGCCCTGCTAACTGGTTTCCCCTGAATCCCTTCACAAAATGTTACCTTGCCTGCACTCCAATAGCTCATCAAGTCCTAAAACCCATGTCTCCATGCCACTTTCCACAGCAGACACTACAACTATCAAGGTCCTCAACAGAATGGGACAAACAACAATCTCTCTCTTCACCCTAGGAGCAGCAATTTAAAGGGAGAAAATCCCCAAAGGCAAAATGGATGAGTGAATTATTTATTATTATAATCAAGGGGGAAGTGCTAAACCCGGAGGATTATACAGCGCCTGGGGGGGATGTGGAAGGCATTCAGGCTTAATTTGGGGAACTGGAGCACAGATCCAATTCCCTAAATCAAGAGCCCCTCACCAACATCAAGGAACCTTCCTTGAGGGGCGGATGAGAGTGAAGACAGGAGGGAAGGAGCAGGGTGAGAGTAATTAGACTTGATCCAAGGAAGGAAACTAAAGGTCTAATTCCTTGAATCAAGAGCCCCTTTGCCTCATCAAGGGACCCTTTTTGAAGAGGAACCAAAGCCATATGTGAACAGTTTAAATGGGTACAAGAATCAGACGAAAGCTACAAGTTGCATAGAGAAGTAAGCAGGTGCATGTGCCCAATCCTCAATCTAGAGAGAACTCATTCAAAATACACCTGTTGAAAAGGCAAGCAGGTGTGTGTGCCCAATTTGCAATCTAGAGGAAACCCATTTAAACTGTGGAAGGGACAAGCTGTAAAGCCCTTGTGGTTTAGCGCTTTTTTTTTTTATAATAATAATGTGGAAGGGGGCAAGCACTGTCCTGTTGAACCCTGCAAATTGTTTTTTGTTAGTAGGACCCACTGGACCATTTGGAATGTGAGGACTGCCCCCAGTACTTTACTGTACTTAAAGCAATTACTGAAAAACTTCCAGACACACTTGCATGCAAGTCAAATTAGTACTTGTGATAATACGCATTTTAAGAAACAAAGGCTTGTTACCAAAAACTTCACTCAGGATTTCCTTCTGTTGTGAACTGCCTCATTAAAATGGGTAACATTTCTCAAAGATTATTTATAATGTGAGATTAGAAAGACTTAAAAAGGAAAAACAAAATTCACATACAGTACAAAGTTCAAGTTAAACCTTTATTATCACACACATTTTCATATAAAAATCATTTTACCTTAATGCAACATTATCTAAAACACAAAAATCCTCAAATACTGCACAGTACTTTAAACAAGAAGGCTCTAATACATTTTTGGAACCTTTTTGATATCATCAAGTGCTTTATTATACAATTCTTTATAGTCCTCATGTTCACGGACAAACACACAAAGAACACCTCGGGTGACTCCCATTGCAGCCCCTAGATCTTCTCTAGATGGAGTATAAATGTATGGCACTTGATTGTCTTCACAAAGAGCCGGAAGATGACACATTACTTCAATAGGTGAAACATTTCCAGCAAATACTACAATTCTGAAAAGAGTTTTTTTTTTATGAAAGTCTACCATCAAAATTTAAAACCTGCAAGACAAGTCTTTACTACATAAAAAATTTATTTTTACATGACATTTATTCCTAGATGTACAGTGGACCCCCTCTTAACGATCACCTCCCAATGCGACCAATTATGTAAGTGCGTTTGTACGTGTATGTTTGGGGGTCTGAAATGGACTAATCTATTTCACAATATTCCTTATGGGAACAAATTCGGTCAGTACTGGCACCTGAACATACTTCTGGAATGAAAAAATATCATTAACCGGGGGTCCACTGTATTAGTATGGGAGAATAGAAGGCATTTAGATTCTATCTTAGTAAGAGAAGCAGGTCCAAATCCTTAGAACAAGAGTTCCTCATTTGCATAAGAGCCCCTGTTGAGGGGTCTTTAACCCTTTCAGGGTCCAAGGCCCAAATCTGGAGTCACGCACCAGTGTCCAAGAATTTTCAAAAAAAAAATTTGTTATTTTTTCTTATGAAATCGTAGAGAATCTTTTTGTGAAGGTAATAAAACAAAAAGTACGAAATTTGGTGGAAAATTGACGAAATTATGCTCTCACGAATTTTGATGTGTCAGCGATATTTACGAATCAGCGATTTTGCCGACTTTGACTCCCATTTTAGGCCAATTACCTTATTCCAATCAACCAAATTCTTAGCTATTTCACTAGTATTACTTCTATTCTATCGATTGAGCACAAGAAATCGCCAAGTCAACTGTTTCAACTACAAAATAAAGTGATCGGAAATTGTTAATTTGGCCAATTTAACACAAAGTTCAAAATATTCCAATTTCAAAATAGGGTCCAGAATAAACAATGTAGGCATTCCTGGCACTAAACTAACATTTCCTCTGTTCATTACTTATGTTTTGAGGCTTTACAAATAAATTCCATTTTGATTTTTTATTCACATAATGAATTTTTATTCACACCAAAAAATAGAAGATTTACTGTTATTCAATACTGTAATAATTGTATAAATATCATCACCATATTTGTGAATGTATATTAGACCCACCAGCTGACGTGTATTAGATGTGTGAGGTCGTTTGTTTACTCTTGAATATCGGCAAAAATTTAACATTTCCGCTACTTTGAGCTCAGTTTCAAGCCATTTCCAGTGCTAAAACCAATCAAAATCATCTCTATTTCTGTAATATGTCTTCCATTCTATCAAATGAGACCAAGAAATCGCAAATACAACTATAAAAAACATACGAAAAAACACTGCAAAGTTGCTGTTTTAATCGAAAAATCATGATTTCATTTTTTTTCTCTCATTATACACAGTGTGCTGCAGGATCTGTTTTATGTGGTGCACACATACCACATAGATGTATTCTCTCATATCTAGGCCCAAATGTACCACTCACAGTTTATCAGAGTGAGCTGAGCTCATGGCGTAGATCTACGGTTTGGACACTCACCATAAAGCCGTAGATCTACGGGACGGACCCTGAAAGGGTTAACCAAACTAACAAACCTTTTAACTGTAACCAAAGTACTGTACTAATACACAAGTGATGACTACATCCAATGTACTAGTATGCCAAATTTTTTCAAGCTTTTAAATGTGCCATCTGCCAATATTTTTTTTACCTCAGTACAACTGTTTGGGTCTCCTACCTCTTGATGTCTTTAAAAAATCTAAGACCAGACAGGTCCATGCAGTGCATCATGGCTAACACTGCCTAACTAGCATAAGTAAACAATGAAACCAGGATCAGTTCTGCCACCAGCTTCCCAACCAGCAAACTGGGAGTGGAATTGGTAAGAAGATATCGTATTCCAAATTTATCACAATTTCATAATTATTAACAGTGTAACTCAGGAAAACAATAAACTATGTAGATTTAACCTAGGATAATCCAATACAGTAAGTGTGACTAATTTCCGTGTTTCAATGAGTATTACAGCTGTTGGCAATATGCTATTTCATCTTGGCTATTATTAGACCCTTGTTTGGGTCTAAAAATGCATATACTGTAACATTTGTAAAGAATATGAAGCCAAGTATAAAAGATTGTTTACTTATTGACAATTTTTGTTAATCACATCACTGAATATAGATAAGAGTGTATATACTCAAAAATTACTGCTTGTCATTTAAACACTTATACAGTGGTACCTTGCAATACGAACAGCTCTAAACTCGAACAATTATATAAATTTATTTATGTACAAGTGCTTTTGTAAGTGTATTTTTTGGGGGTCTGAAACGGATTAATCTAATTTACATTATTCCTTATGGGAACAAATTCATTTGGTATCGGCACTCAAACAGCCTTCTGGAACAAATTAAGTTCGTATCCCAAGGTACCACTGTATAACTGTAGTGATTCTGTGAATTCATATACCGAATCATTACTAGCAAAAATTAAGATATGTAAGATGGACTCAGACATGATCATTATATTTCTATTAATGAGAATCTTAATAATACCCTCTAACGACTATACCTTGTTCATAAATTTATAAATTTTAAACCTTAATATTTTCTGCAAACCAAAAGAAATCAAGATAAAGATACAAACTTACCCTTTCATTCCTTTCCTAAGCCACTTCTGCACCCCTTTCACACTAGCTTCAAGGTATGTTTTATGAGTGGAAGCTGGAATAAAATGTTTTATGTTTATATTTACTCTACAGTCTATGAATACATGTATATCAATAAATAACAGACATATATTTAAGACTGTACAATTACATTCAAAAGGATCACTTTTACAATAAAAATACTTTATCTCATTAAAAATTCATACAGGTGCCTGTTTAATACTGACAGTTATCCTGCAGATAAAATAAGTCAATAACTCAACATGTAAATTCTGACATTATAAAACTGCACTTTGTATTGTTTAACATGAATGTGAAAGGCATTTAAATTTAATTTCTATTAAAAGTGGTATAAATCTTCCAAACAAAGCTTACAAAAGTGAAATTTAATAATTTTACACCACATACGCATGTACATATACGTACTTAAATACTTGTATCCTTATTTATTTATACGTATACTGTGCTTACTTACATATTTACATTACATATTTATTTATGAAGGGATATGGGTGTGAAGCATGGGTGATGAATGTTGCAGCGAGGAGAAGGCTGGAGGCAGTGGAGATGTCATGTCTGAGGGCAATGTGTGGCGTGAATATAATGCAGAGAATTCGTAGTTTGGAAGTTAGGAGGTGCGGGATTACCAAAACTGTTGTCCAGAGAGCTGAGGAAGGGTTGTTGAGGTGGTTCGGACATGTAGAGAGAATGGAGCGAAACAGTGACTTCAAGAGTGTATCAGTCTGTAGTGGAAGGAAGGCGGGGTAGGGGTCGGGCTAGGAAAGGTTGGAGGGAGGGGGTAAAGGAGGTTTTGTGTGCGAGGGGCTTGGACTTCCAGCAGGCATGCGTGACCGTGTTTGATAGGAGTGAATGGAGACAAATGGTTTTTAATACTTGACGTGCTGTTGGAGTGTGAGCAAAGTAACATTTATGAAGGGATTCAGGGAAACCGGCAGGCCGGACTTAAGTCCTGGAGATGGGAAGTACAGTGCCTGCACTCTGAAGGAGGGGTGTTAATGTTGCAGTTTAAAAACTGTAGTGTAAAGCACCCTTCTGGCAAGACAGTGATGGAGTGAATGATGGTGAAAGTTTTTCTTTTTCGGGCCACCCTGCCTTGGTGGGAATCGGCCAGTGTGATAATAATAATTCAGGGAAACTGGCAGGCTGGACTTAAGTCCTGGAGATGGGAAGTACAGTGTCTGCTCTCTGAAGGAGGGGTGTTAATGTTGCAGTTTTATAACTAGTGTAAAGCACCCCTCTGGTAAGACACTGATGGAGTGAATAATGATGAAAGGTTTTCTTTTTTGGGCCACCCTGCCAAGGTGGGAATCGGCCGATGTGTTAATAAAAATTAAAAATTTATTTATATATTTATTTACTAGTAGGAAAATATAAGACTTCAAACCATTGGGTAGGATTATGTAACAGCTTAGGTCCAGGGGTGGAGAACACTTTTATGTTGGAAGGCCACATTAAAGTTAGCTGTAATCTAATAGGGCTGCGTTCAAGAAATTTTGATCAGATATACTGCAGTGTCAGTTATTTTGTAAAAAGTTCATTATTATATAATAACTTCAGGAAAAATAATTCATTCAGAAGGTTACACTTAACGTCCTAGGAGGCTGCAGGTTCCCCACCCCTGGCTTAGGATAATCCCACCCAAAAAAGTCAGAAGCGACTTATTTCCATTAGGGTCCTTGTAGTATCTTAATATTTCAAGCCTTGCTGTAGGATACAGTAGAAATCACTCATGATTATAACCTTTAAAATTAAAATAGCTAAGTAACTGAACTGTGTAAACGTCCTGCTAAGTAATTCTACCGTGTGAAAATCCAAAATATATATTAAGATTAGTTCCAATTCCTTGAATCAAGTCCTTCCCGGCATCAAGGCACCTCAATAAAATAAGTCAGTCTGACTATTTTGAGTTATCCTAGGTAATTTACACTATGTATGATAATTATGCTTATGTTTATCTGTACCTAAATAAATTTACTTCCAAGAAGGGTTAATGTTTAACGAGTGAGCAAGAAACACACGTGTACGACTCACATTTCTTGATTAGTTTATAGAGTCTGCCAGCCACTTTCTTGGAGGCCATGGGCTGTGCTATGATGCTAACACACTTCACTTTATCTTCATAGCTAACTTCACCTTGCTCGCCTTCAATAACCTGGCTATTATCAAGGTCTGGCTCATCTGCCTTGTCCTTGTGTTTGCCCATGATGCTACAAGTGAACAATAACAGCAGTAAAGTGAAGCTCGGAAAGCGAGCTCCTCCAGCCTCGCTTAAGTAACTTTATTTAAATATGTAAACAAACTTTGTTTTTGTGCTGCTGTACAAAATAAAATATTAAGTATAAAAGAAAGCCATTAGCATTCAAGTGAAGATTTTGGGATCAGTTCCAAACAATTCCGGACCAGTATGCTGTGCTGACTTATTTTCGCTCTCAAGAATTCTTCAGTCTGCGCTCCAGCATTCTGTAGTTTCCCTACGATCCTACGAGGGGAACTTTTACCTTCTGCAATTGTTATCTGTGCTCTTCCACGATGTATTCACATCTCAAGGATTTTCCAGGTGTAGATTATAATGTATATTTCTCGCCTGCGCTCCAGTGAGTACAAATCAAGTGACTCCAAGCGTTCCCAGTAATTAAGGTGTTTGATGGAACTTTTATGTGCAGTAAAGGTTCTCTGCACATTCTCTAGATCTGCGATTTCACTTGCCTTGAATGGAGCTGTTAGTGTACAGCAGTATTCCAGCTTGCAGAGAACAAGTAATTAAAAACAAAAAAAGATCACCAATGGCTTGGCATCTCTTGTTTTAAAGGTTCTCATTATCTATCTTATCATTTTCCTCGCAGATGTGATATTGACACTTGTGATCCTTGAAGGTTGGATCCTCTGACATTAACACTCCCATGACCTTCACACTGCTTTTCCGCTCTATTGTGTGATTCGAGTTTGTAGTATACTCATTTCTAGCTATTATTTCCTCCAGTCTATCATAGCAGAGCAGCTGAAATTTGTCCTCAATGAACATCATATTGTTTTCCGTTGCCCATTGGAAAACTTGGAGATTTAAAGTCCTCAATGGAAGACAGTCTCATGCAAATTCTAGTATCGTTTGTAAAGGATGACACGGAGCTACGGTTTACATCTCTGTGTCTGATACGAGGGTGAAAATGTGTGTAATTGTATTTATGTGTACCTGAACCTAAATAAACTTTACCGGCCGAGCTACGGGACACCGTTTGTTTAGGTGCAGGTCTATGTAAGTATAATTATCATACATAGTAACTTACGTGTAAATTGCCTAGGATAGCCCAAAAAAGTCAGACAAGTGACTTATTTCCAATGGAATCCTTGTAATATATAGCTGATCAGGCCCTGATCCACTGCGAGGCCTGGTCATGGACCGGGCCTCGGGGGCGTTGACCCCTGAGACACCCTCCACCTCCAGGTATGTGTAACAATAAAGAATAACTCATAACACTGTTGGCTGGAACGATTAAATAATGGAAAGGAAACAGACGACGTTTCGGACCGTCCTGGACCATTCTTACCAAGCTGTGACTTAATGATCCAGAAGGAACTGAAACGTCATTCACAGTTTCTTCTAGAAAGTGTATACCTGGAGAGAGAGTTCCGGGGGTCAACGCCCCCGCTGCCCGGTCTGTGACCAGGCCTCATGGTGGATCAGGGCCTGTTAGCCAGAATTCAAATTATATGTAAAAATGCCTCTAGTCCTTCTCAAAGTCTTACACGGTAAGATAACTCCAGTCCTGCCGGAAGTCTTACTCTGTAAGAAAAACCTGCAGTTCTGCTGGAATTTACATGTTATGTAAGAAAACCCCAGTCCTGCTGGAAGTTACATCCAGTGAAAGAAAACCACATTCCTCAAAGAAAACACTAGCCCCTTTGGAAGTCATTTCATGGATATAACACCAATACCTAAAGAGAAAGAGCAGCAGAGGCAGCGGCAGCTGCGGCGCCGGCAGCGGCTGCGGCAGCGGCTGCAGCACCAGCAGCTTGTGCTGCAATGTGAATAATTTTTTGACGGCACAGCAAATATATCTATTAGGTTGAATTAGCTTATATATATATATTTCAATTAATTTTAATAAACTTATTCTTATTTGCATCACTTTGCAAATGATGGTACTAAAAAATTACCATATATAAAGCTGTGACATTGTGACTTATCGTGTGGGCGGGAAATGCAAATTTCCTGTTGCTGGATGATGACGATTGCGGCTAGTGAGGTTTATTTCTTTGGACAATACAGCTTTATTTCAATTACTTTTCTTTCAAATAATGTTGGAATTACATATATTATTTAGTTAATATACAGCTTTAATTTATCCTGGCCGCTGCAGATGCATCTTGCAGATTCTGACGTCAGAGTTTGGGCTGACAATATATGGTCAGTGAACATCACATTACAACTTAACTCTTTTCTAAGTAATATGATAAAGAATCAGAAACTATCCAGGCCTAAATATAGGGATTCAAGGCTCAGACGACAGTCATGTGGAAAGTTTTCAAATGTATTGCACACATTGCGCTATGTGAATTTAATGGTTAAATCATGTTTAACTACAGATCTACATCAATATTATGGGTGTACGAGAATAAATTAAGTGTAAATACAAAGGTTTAAGAAGTGTTATAGTTGTCTTTTGTTGTGTGTGGCGCCATCTATGCTGGCCGCCCACCACACAGGTGTTGCTCAAGCTGATGGTTCAGTTTATTTTTGTTATGGCGGAGATCGTTTATGGGATTGAACAAATGCTTGCAAAAGTGCTGATATAGAGATGATTTCAGAGTGGAACATGATGAAAATATCATAGAAAACGTTTTATTAGGTAAGGTTTTATTATGTGTGGAAAGATTGGGCGTAAACAAGCTCTTTGAGTGAAAATCTTAAGAGGTTGATGAGTCAACGAGGGTTGGGCAGACGATGTTGGAAAACATCTTAAAACTAGTGCTGTATTTTGTAATAGACCTTACAGATATTAGATTATTTGTTATATACAAGTGAAGTAAGTATATCAGCGCTCTATGAGGTTGTAAAGATAAACGGCATGTTTAAGTATAAAAAAGTTTTAAGGAAGGGCGTGGAAAAGTTTCTCGTTTAGAGTGAAAGTGAGGAAAAACAAAATAATATTAGTTAAGGGGGTAAATAAGTAATTACATAATTATGATGATAGCTTACGATAATGTGATTGTATGGTTTATTAATATTCCGTGGTGTTGCGATAGTACAAGTGAATTTCTTTCAGTATTGACAGGGTGTGTTCATCTACAGTTATAACTTCCTAAATACACTGATAGTTTGGTGTTTTATCTTAGGGAATAAGTATCTTTAGTATTGTCTTGGTTAATTGTAGCCTTATTGAACCTTATTTAATCAAAACATTAAGCTAAAGAAACTTCAAAATTGATTTGTTTATTAGCTACCTTTCTTATTGAATATACGATTGTAGTTAACTATATAAGAAATCCTACTTAATAATCTGTCTAAATCATAAGTAGTCTTTAAGTGTTAGGATTAGTTTTCTTGAAATGCATCATATATTAGTGGCTTTCTTTTGTGCATATCATTGTTTCATTACATGTCAACTACATTATTTTGTACCACATAAAGAAATAAAAACTTGTATTTGTAGTGATTGATAATTGTAGTGTCTTGTTAAATTCTCATTAACATGAACGTATTTGTTGATTAATATAAGTCACCCTTAGTTGTGAAATATTTATTAGTGTTGATCAGTTTTAATTAGGACTGCAGCATTGCACTATCAGATTTAAATGTTGAGTATTGTTTTTAAATATTTAGAATATTTGATGCCTTTAGATGTTTCATCTGCTTTAGGTTCTGTAACTGTGATGGTTATTAACACTATTACTCTGTCAGTTTCTTCACTTTTGAACATAGCAGTTGAGTGTCTACCAAAACTACTATCCTCACCATTTCTGCTATTCTAACATACAAATCAGTATCTGCTTTCCAAAGTTCTGTTCCCATCCTTTGATTTGTATTTTAGCCCCTTTATAATGCATATAACACCACACTACTTCGGAAGAAATCAGTACAGTAATTGGGTTCATTGGGAATTTATCTGATATTACTCTTCCCCATGGAATGTTTTGTCTGTGTATAAACACAAACCATCCTTCTGAAATTTTCATTTCTGGCAGTGGAATAATAAGTGTGTAAGAATAACCACAATGTTGCATACATAACATATTGGTTTTTTCCACCTAGTGTTTGTAGTGTTGTACATATGTCTATTCTTGTACACACCATTATTAACCAGCTTAGCCCAGCCTCAGCCATGCATTATTTATTGTAACTTTACATCCAGTTCATGATGGTTTGATCTCTCTTGGTTTCATTATACTTCAGTGCTTCTGCTGTCTGTGTTGCATGATCTGCCATATCAATGAACAAATTTGTTACTGTGTAAGGAGGGGGGGCTTTTTTTCCATTCCCAATGTTCTTGCTTCCTTTCATCTGCCCTTTCATTGCTAGTTATCCCTACGTGGCTTGGCTCAAGTCCACTCACTGTACACCAATTTCTGTTAGCTTGTTTTATTTTAATCACAATGTATTGTGTCCTACATCTAGAAGATTATGCAGTTCACTCATCCAATCACAGAATAATATCCCTCATTGTACTCTATCCATCATCTTATAGAATAGCATTCTTTCTATGTATTATAACTGCAGTATACATCCTGGAATGAGGTGGTAACCAATATACCTCACTGTAGTCTTGTTCTGTTATAAATGTTGTTGCTGTCCCTGCCGGTATTGAGTCTAGCTGCACAGATTTCATTCAGCTTAACCCTTTCAGGGTCGACAGGCCCTCTCCCAGACTTGTTCTCAGGGTCGCCCAAATTTAAAAAAAAAATTATTTTATGAAAAAATAGAGAATCTTTTCCCGATCATAATGACACCAAAAGTATGAAATTTGATGAAAAACTTACGGAATTATGCTCTCGCGAAGTTAGCGGTCTTGACGATGTTTACGCATCAGCGATTTTGCCCAATTTGAGCCCTATTTCGGCCAATTCCAGTGTACTAGTCGACAAAAATCATAACTATTACGCTAGAACTCTTATTTTTTCTATCGAATGAGTACAAGAAACCACTCATTTCCCGATTTCAACTATCCAATACAGTGGTCAGAATTTAGCAATTTTGCCAATTTCACACAAATTTCAAAAGATGCCAATTTCCGAATAGGGTCCAGAATAAACAAGA